AACAGATTAATGCAGTTAATGAATTATTAGGAAGCTAGCTAGCTCTTAGTACTACCCCGCATACATTAACTGCGCTGGCACTGCAACGGCCAGTGGCAACTGTACGCGGGCTATAGTACTAGAGCTATTAGACTAATTATTAGTACTAGTAGTAGTAGTACTACTAGTAGTACTACAGTATCCCTACAAGTACTACTAGTAGGAAGCTTGACCCCGAGTACCCGACCAGTATTCAATTCGATTCAGTTTATCAATGTATGACCGTTTCTAGAAACTAGCCAACCCTGAGTCAAAGCCTGACTCCTGGGTCAGGGGAGTAAGGAGTCAGCCACATATTATCAGGAGCGTATAATGACAAAGGAGTAAGACAACGATTTGGTACTGATTTCACTACTTTTTGTCGTACGAGTTCGATGTGAATTATTGTTGTGAACGTTTGTCATTATACGCTCCTGATATTATACTTACGGTATACTTATAGTTATACTTATAGTTATAGGCCTAATATTGGCCTAATACGGGCTTAGCCCGACCAGGCTGTGTGACTAACGTCAATACACACGTCTTCTAACCCTAGCAAAGACCGTTTGGCGTTTCTTAGAGCTATTAGTATTACTATTAGTATTACTATTAGTACTAGTAGTAGTATTACTATTACCAAGGCCGGGCACATGACGAAAATCGCCTCATGATAATACCTCATATTACCTTTTTCTGTACCGGGAGAAAGCGGTGTGGAAACAAATGTAAACTCGTCCGGAGGAGGTCCATTGTTTCTCACATCAGATGGAACAAATTCTGGATGCATGGCTGATAGTGACACATACAGTACACACACAGATTACACTCACAGATTACTGCCACATAGACATCGCCATGTTACAAACGAGAATTTTCACTCATTTCCCTACCACCAGGTAGCGGGATGTTCTTCTGTCAACAATCGCTCTTAGCTGCGCACCTTACCTTGCACCGGTTTTGGATTTAGGAGGTAAAGAGACGTGTTACCATCTATAATCACACGGAACTTTGCTGATTCTTGTTGCTGAAAACTCAATCACTCGATCACCTCGTTGACGGTGTCTCACTCACTGAGGTCTCCCGTTACATTACTAGCATGTAAGAGCTCCAAGTAAGAGGACCATGCCGAAGAAGTAAAGAGACAAAGTTGATCGACAATTCCTCGTTTCAGTGTTCGTATTCTTAAGATAGATTACAGTCGAGGTACTCACCACTCAACTTGTCACTGATCATAACTACTGTCAGTACTGAGTAGTACTGCTACTACTCTACTACTAGTAGTAGTACTAGTATACAGTAACATGGATGTTAAAGATTTACAACTACTAAGTTTCTGTGTTGGGAAACTTACTAATTCGGGAGAACCTAAACTGGACCAAGAAGTCATGACAAAATAAAGAAAACATGCAGGATGTCAGACGACAACGTAAAACATACGTTTCACTTCTTTGGACTGAGCTTGAGAAACCACATTCAGGTACACTAGTCACTACTTGTGTCATATACTGATATAGGCCTAGTTGTCATATTACGACTTGTGATAATGTTCAGGTTACGCATGTGAGAATTTATAAAACATAAGACAAGTTGTTGTAACATGCCGCATTACTGCAATGCCAATACTGCAATGGAAGTCACGTGTATTTATCGCCACGATTTGTAAATCATGTCGTCAAAGTTGTCATTCCAGTGGCAGTAGTTGAACTCGATAGCACATGTGCAATAATGATACACTGATGTGTATACGGGATAACTTCTATGCGATATATATATATATTATATATATATATATGCACAGAGTATGATTAACAGTTTTGTTGTGTGGTCAGAAAATCACTTTAACTATATACACATAAATAATTATGAATCCTATTACATGGATCATTTAAAAAATGTATTTTGTTTGTGCAGAAATGCGACTGTCAGCCTTCCAAATCGTGGATGAGTTGTTCAACAGGTCGCATGCATTCCGAGAGCTGGTGATTGAGAGATTCCAATTCTTTCTTGAGCAATGTGGCGGACTGACTTTGAGAATCCCTTACCAGCCCAAAAGGCAGCTGCCATGACCCTGAGGATGCGGTGCTGACAGCCGTCCACCAGGTATGAAATGTCACTACATTTTCAATCTTCACTTGTATGTACTCCCCGCAAGATCGTTCCATCACACCTAGTGTATACCTGTGTAGACCATCTCCGCCACATGCACGCGTTGCAGCGATTGGCTACACACATAGGCTCGATCTTCTGAACTGAATGTAAGGATGTCGGTGTAATTGCATTTGATGTTATGCGCGCGTGATCTATCATAGTGTGGGATGCTGAACGGTTGTTATGTGCTTGAGAGAAATGTGTAGCTAGAGTTGCAGAGACAGGTTTTGCCACCTCACTATTATTGGCAGACTTATTATGTCTAGCTATGTTGTGTCTATCATACAGCTCCTACATTGATCTGACGTCAAATCTACTATTAGGTGCACAGGTGCTCTTGAGGTTTCCTGCCTTTGATTGACGTAGTTCTCAAGAATCCTGGATTTAAAAAAAAAATTCATTAATTTCATTAAAAGATATGACCTTGATTATAAAAACTTGTAGAGTATAAGTGGCTACTGTTCCAGCAAAGCCATATTCAAGTTATCACAGTGATAGTTGCTGTGTCAAATAGATGTTTCCCTTTGCCTCCAGCTTAATATGGTGCCTTTGTATACATTATACAGTGGAATGAGAAGTATGGTGAAGCTTAACAAGAAACTCCAGTTGGATACAACTAATCTCAAAGAATGCAAAGGTATTAACTTCACAGACATGCACAGCCAGGAGCATAGGTGAACAACAACGGGAGAATGAGCGACGAGCCAGACAGACATGCTTCGGACAAGTTAAAAGTTATTTCTCACAAAATGACTGACCTAATTCAGAAATACAGGTATTGTCCTTTAGGCAGAACAGCTTTTGTATGAGAAAATATTAGGAGAAAACATATGTTATTAGAATAAAATAATAAAGCTATATAGCAATGCAATGTGGTGACATGTGAGGCAACTTAAAATATTCATTGGTTTTGTGATGAAGGCTATAGTTAGGAAAACTCACTATGTAGACTTGACACTTTCTGATTGCTATCTCCTGTGGGTAGTGTTGGGTGGGTGGGGAGTTGAAAATTTACTTTGAATTCTTGCATATCTGTTCATTTGTGCAGAGCTGCTTGACACAGATGGACAGCTGCTTTAGCTTGCTTTTGCCACACATGGGTGAAAACCTGTATGGAGGACATGTACCACTTCCTGGGCCATCGGGACTGAATAAAGACTCTTGTGATCTGGAGCTGCAAAAAGTGTTGCAATGAAGAAAGTCTAGAACTTCAACAGAGTCGACCTGATGATTCAGCGGCAGCGGATACAGTTCCAGCCGTGGCTGGAAAAGATGGTCATAGCAATAAAGCTAATACAGATGGCGCCACGGATAGAGAATTGATGACATGAGGAATCAGAAGAGAGAGAAGACCTGCTGAGACACCATGGCACTGCAGAGCAAATATAGCATTGACATTCAGCGTGGGCAGTCCGAGTTGCCATGGGATTCACGAAACAATCGACAACACAAGACATAATCAATACTGCTGATGAGCTGCTCAAGATGCTGAATACTAAACTGCAACCAGCCGTAGCTGAGTGGATTACGGTAAAGATTGATTCCCTTATTGGTTCCCTTTGATTCCCTTTTGGCTTGATTTTTTAATTAAATGTGAAAAAAATCCACGTGTATCATATCTAGATAAATCAAGTGATACAGTGAGGCTTGTAGATGAATTTGAGCAAGAGTTAATGTCATGATATCACCTTACTGTCTCTTCTCATACGGTTATCACAAAGACTGGGGAGAACATGGATATGTTGAAGAAAGCGATTGACGTCAACAGGCAATTGAGGCTGCACGAAAGAATATGCAGAGCTACGAATTCTTTCGCGTGAAGCCCGGGGAAGAAAATGGAGAAGACAGTGATGACGATGAATGATGGTGATTTTGAGAGAGGTAGAGGAGAAGGAAGGTTATGAAGCAGACATTCCAGAGCACCTAAGGTAAACCTCTTCAAATTGCAGTTAATCGCTTCTTAACGTCTACATGTAGCTTGTATAACACACTGGCTGCAGGACGATCAAGACCTCACACTGCACGCACGTGCAGTACTACACTTGTATTGTATATGTGACTGTATATGAGGTGAACTTAAAGCTGCAGGCGAGAGCTTTAACATACAGTATTCATTGACATACTCTTTAGCTGTCGAATAGGTGTACATTGTAAATCTGTGTATTTTTTTGTATTAATACAGAGACGAGATTGAATTCAAGCCGAAAGAGCCGACACAGGTGACGGAAGAAGTCTGGAAGCCTAGAATACATGTGGAGAACAGTGACACGACGCCTATATATATACACGCGCACACGCCCCTACGTGATCTTTTATATTCAACACGCAGTAATCCCTAGATAAGGCACAGGAGAAAATATGGAACAAAGGTGTGTCAAATCATCAATAGGAAAAACGCGTGAGCATAGAAATCTTATTACACGACTGTGTGGAATACTATTGCGCATTAGTTCAGAGCAGCAATTTATTTTCTCGATCATTATATATATATATATATATATGTATATATAATATTATATATATATATGATAGATGATATAATGATATGATAAGTTGTAACGGGCTTCTTTTATTTTGTGTTATCCCGTGTAGTAGGCACGTGTGATCGTATAGTGTGACCAGGTTCGTTTGTACAACAGATACGTGTGCTATTGCACTTAAGCCACAGACAGTATAATGCTAAAACCACAGAATTACTACGGTTACTCTATTCTTTAATAATCAACATCATATTGACAATGATACATACAATACATAATAGGTGGCTACGCAGGCCAACCAGTAAATACGCGTTACAAATGCTACGCAGGTCAACAATGCCTACGCAGGCTAACATCTTATACACCAGGCACATACAGACAAGCGACTGGTTTACAAATGCAGTTCATGTTTACGAGCGTGGAGTCCTGCAGGTCGCAGGCAGCAGGCAGGTCCTCAGTCAGTGATGTCCAGCGGCGACGGTAGCGTGGTGACGAGAGCATGTGAGAGCAGTGCGGTGCTGACAGCGTCGTGAACTGTTTAGCGCCGGGGAACTGTGTCTGCCTTTCTGTCGAAACTGTTCCGGATTTATGCAACTGGAGGAAGGCATGGTCCAAGTGTCCTCAATGCCTTATTGCATGCGATGGTGCAATCCTGTGTCCTTCTCCAGAATTTAATGGACAACTGAAGGTGAGAGACTTCCTTCTCTAGCGTGATCGCGAGAACGGAAGCAGAAACTTCTAGAAGTCATTGGGAATCGCGGCAGTTAGATTCATGTTCTCATAGTTCACATAGTTCACATAAATTTCGTCGGCGGCGTTCGTTGTTAGTTCTTTATCAGTCGGCATGCGACATCAAGGTGTGATGTCCTTCTATAGGTACTAAACTGTCACTCTGCCGTCGTGGGTGATAACTTTTACTCGTGTTCCAGTGACTCAGTTTCTTGGGATGGCTGGGTGGCGTCTTTCGCTTGTTGCCTTGGCTGTTATTAAAATAACCTATGACGTGATCTGCTTACGTTAGATGACCCGTGTCGCTAGGTTTTATACTAGCTAGGTTAAATAATTCAATATCTACGTCGTTACACTTTGCATCTTCTTTTTGCCGGTCGGTTCCAGCAATCAAGTGCGTCGCAGGAAAAAATGAAATATGATATGAAATATAAAAGGAAAAACGCGTGAGCATAACAATCTTATTATTCGGCTGTGTGAAATATGCCTACTATTGCGCATTAGTTTAGAGCAGCAATCTATTTTCTTAATATATATATATCAAGAGTAGATAATAACACATGTTTTTATATATATGTGATAATATGTGTTTATTATCTACTCTTGATATATATATATATATATATATCAGGGGCGTTGCTAGGGTGAAATGGATGTGTACGCACACAGGCGGGGGGTCTGTGACTGTCTGGGAAATTCGAAAATTTTGAAAATGTAGATCGCAGGAGATGGTATTTGAGGCACTTTTGAGTAAATGTGCAGCCTTCATTCTGACTACGACAATTATCTTTTTAGTAGAACTATTCTCTTCATGAGCAACAAGATGTGATCACTAAAGATCACTATAACTAATCATGTAATTTTCGTTTTATTATCAATTAATTAAGACATGTTGAACTAACGCACATTCTTAAACTCTCTCTTTCTTTCTTTTCCTCTCTGTGTGCGTGCGTGCGTGCGAGCGAGCGTATGCGCGTGCGGGTGCGTGTGGGCGCGTGTGTGTGCTCAAACACACATATCACTCACTGCACATCACATCACATCACGGCATTGTTTAAAGGGACAGTAGCCTCTAAAATTTTACTGCATACAACTGTACTTACTGTATAACAAATCGTCTATAACCACATGTATTTGTCACCAGATACTTAATTAATTATTTACACATCATGATCAACGCTACGAAATTTGAACGGCGCCATGACACCCGCGACCGTGCTGCCACCCTGAAAAAGTTGCGTATTTGCATTTTTATTTTGCAGGTAAATGACCGAGGGCTAATCACAAAAGTGCAATTATATTTATTTTAGGGCAAATTTATCCATATTATAACTGAAACTATATGA